TTGTTGTCGTCGTCGATGGTTGTGTTTTTTTTTTTTGGTTTCGTTGCCATTGCCAATGCATTGCTCACATAACCGGCAATGAAAAGCGCCGCAGCATTGCAAGTTGCATATAAAAATCTGTTTTGCGACTGCGACTTGTTAATTGCGCACATCGCAAGGGGGGCATTTAATTGTTGTCGCAGCTACTGTTGGCTGGCTGCCTTGAACCTGGCCAATGCTGAATGTCTGGGTCTGGTTGTGAATCTGTAACTGGCCCTGAGTTCTCCGACAATCTGCCCTGTGCGTGGGCAGCTCCAATTACGCGTTCATACGACTCCAAGTCCCGAGTCCCAAGTCCATATAACAACACCTCCCGCAGCGAAGACTCACGCTTCAGCTGGCTTTTGGTTTACAAGAGCGAGGAAGCGAGAGCAAAACACCGGCAAACGAAAACAAAACTAATTAATAAATTAATTATGCCATTACAATAATACATACACACCACAGCAAGAACGACCCCGAGACTCACGCACTTTAATTATGAATATTTTCATGCTAAAATATGCATGCACTTGCCGGAGTAAGGCTGCCGAGGTGGTTACACAAAGGGTATCAAATGGATATTTAAGGTATCGGATAAAATTAGGAAACTACTTTAAAAATCAAAAGATTTAAACATAATTCAGTTTATATTAAAAGAAATGTAAGTTTTTACACACTACCTTTCCTTGTCTTAACCAAAAGTTAAACTAATTTTATGGTTTTCCCTTTCATAGAAATATTTTCTCCTACTTTTTGAATGTTTCGACCGGATTCTTTTCTTTGAGTTATATTTATATGATAGCCATTTCCTAACTTGACTTAAAGGGTACCATCTCTTCGAACCCCTAACAACCCCTGGGCTTTGGTTGTTTTGGTGGTGGCTGCTGCTGTTCCTCCAACGGGAGTTGACTTAATTAACCGCCCCAGGTGAGGCTGCCGCTGCCTCTGCCACTTTTCAGGGAGTGGGTTCAGGTGAAGTTCAGGTCGCGAAGGGAACAACAACAGCAGCAGCAGCAGGTTGGCTTCATTTTTGACATGGCTGCGTTTTTTTGTCAGCTAATTAGTGACGTTTGAATTAATTAAATACCAAAAAGGGCAATTTCATGGAAATTTTCCCAACGATTCTCAATTTGCATTTGTGGAGTTAGCAGGCAGGCGCTTGACCATGGCGAGCCATTTAGATGAAATCTATTGCATTTTATTCGAATTTTTATTCCCATGTTAACAGTTCTATTATCCTTGCGGCTATATCGAAACACCCAACACCCCCCGCTCTTACCGATTTCCCAGACCAGCGAACTGCGAAAGCCTCCGCCGTATGATAAATCGCAGCATTTACGTGTGTGCGCCCAGGCAAATATATCAGGCGGGCAAGGTCATAAATATTAATTGTGTTTTTGGCGGAGGGACTGGCAATGGAGCTGGGAGCACACTCCAGCACTGGGGGAAAATCTATGGAAATGATGAGGATATTTAACAGTGTTCGTTGGCAGTTCAAGATGAAGAAACTAACAACAGAAATATTTTCTGTATTACACATTAATTTAACTAAAATTCGATTACATTATAAACATTAATAATTAATCGAAATTTCAATAGTTTATATTATATTATAGTAATTTTCCCTGTGTATGGATAGGTGGATTCGGGACCTATCCTTAGTTTGCATGTCTCGCCCCGTTGTGTTGTTGCATTGTTGCGGTGGCCTGTGCCCGTTGGCTAGGTGTTGTTGCCCGCTGTTCCCGGTCCGATGCCATTATCAATCGATCGAACGCGAGCTGCATTTGCTTAGCGGCTTGCGCATGAACGAGCCCCAATCGAAGCCAAATACTCGTACATCGAATATTGCTAATAAATATTCAGCGTTCGAGTGGTGCTGCAGTGGATTATGTTGTGATGGCGCACCGATGTCCTGGCCCCAAAAACACTACCACCACAACAACAACAACAACAGAATCAGTGACAGACTATGGTATCTCTCTTTGGCAAATGCTTGGAGAGCAGAGCTTGGCCAATAGATATGTCCGCAAAACTTTCATTAGCCTGGGTCGAACTTTAAGCCCAACTTCAAGTCGCCAGCCGCAGTCAGGAGTTATTCATAAGCGTCGAGTGCTGTGGAATGGAATGGAGTGGTACTAGTGGTCGAGTGCTGCTGTGATTAATATCCTAGGAATGCAGTTTATTGTTGCGCGACGACAACAGCAACAACATCGAAGCAGCAGTTGCAGTCTGGGGCTGGGGGCGTGGCAGTGGGAGACACATGGCAGGAAGGTAGCACCGCCATATGTGCCGGGGTCAAAGCAGCCAACGGAACCCGCACTGCGAAAATATAAAAAAATTATTAAGGGATTTAGGTAAGTTAAACAATCAGATAATAAAAGATATTCTTAAAGACATATGTAAGTAAAATATCTTAATTTAGAACTACAAAAAGGTCTCCGCATACATCTTTATTTTTTTTTATTATTAACTAATTTTTTCAAGTGCAGCAACTTTATGAAGAGGCTCGCATCTCATTTTAAGGCCGCGAGGCGACGCAAATTTGTGTGCATTATATTTTTCCTTTTTGTTGTGTTTTCCTGGATTTTCTTTAGTTTTTTTTTGTTGCCTCAAAGGTTTTTCCTCAGCTATTTTAGCTCAGTTATAAATTACACCGGCCATTCGCACGAGTGTGTGTGTGTGTGTGGTAGTGTGTTGCATAATCTGAGTGCTGAAATCTCTGGCATCCACTTGAGAGCAAATGCAAACAGCGCTAGAGAGAGTGAGACGGGGGCATCATCTGGAACCTATTGTTCTAGAGGCCCCCACAATGGAGCTGGGAAATATAGAGAGGAAAGGCGGGAGACGTGAGCCAGAAGAAGTCGCTGGAGCTGCTGCAGAATGACCGCCACTCTCATAATAGAGTCATAAAATTTTAGTGCGCCGCTTGGCCAACTTACCGCTCGACCCGCGATATCGGGGAACCCCCGTGGCGCCATCAGAGTCAAAGCCGTTTCGCTTTGTTGGCCATTGTCCCGGCCATTTACTCGGACCATAGAAATATATAATTGTGATTAATTATACGACATAAAAGTGCTTTAGATTCAACATTTTGATGCATTTATAAACCGAAAAATCACTTGAAACTCTCCACTGGGCAATCTCTTTTCTCCACTGGATCTATTATCAATTGTAATAAAAGTTGGCCGCTCAAAACCCAAGCTGGCATTATTTGGGGCGTTGCTGCGGCTCTCGGCTATGTTTTGGGGAGTATTTATGGATTATCTACGATATGGGCTAAAACCAAATAAGTAGTTGTGAAAATTGATAACAGTCTAGAGCCTATCAAGAGGCATCTTAAGGTTAAGTTTATTTGAATTTCACTGGTTTATTGATCTTACCATCAGTTTATGGTTATAAAATATTAAGATGTTCATCCTATGATGGTTTTTGAAGTCCATTCATTTTAATTTGAGATCGGTTTATATCTACATACATGTGTATATAACACATTGAATCACTCCCTAATATTTCTTGCATATAACAAATAAGTTGGCATTCCTACTTAAGGATGGGTATGCCCAGATAAGTAGTCATAAATAATACCAGCACGTAATAATGAGTAGTTTTGTTCGAAGAGTCGAGTATTGCCAAACTCTGATTGTACAATAGGATTTTCCAGTTCCGCAGTTGCATGGACCTAATGCTGCTTTCCCAGATCCGATCGTACTTCAAAGAGACACTGTATACCATTCTAGGCTCCCTAGGAGAAACCTTAATTGAGTTCATACGGCGCATTTTTGATTGTCAGCGTTGTCATGGCCAGCGGACGAATCGCCACCGGCAGACGGAATGGAGTAAATCGCGGCACAGGACGGCATCAGAGGCCCAGCGACAATGGAGTACTCGAGGAGCTGGCTTCGTTATCACACAGAACATGGCAGCACATGGGAATTGCTGCCTCCACCTGGTGACGACTGTTGCACTCCGGTTGGCAGGGACAATGGATGGGCAGGGAGAGCCTTGGGGGCCAGGAACTTCTCTATTCGGACAAGAGCCACTGAGCCAGAAGTAGAGTCGGCAGTTGGAGACTCGGAATCAGAAACAGAATCCCTGACAAGAGCAATCCATCCACAAAGGCAAAGGCATTTCATGCTCATCAAATGCGTTGACATTGAACAATTGCGCGTAATGTTGTCGTACACTTGACAAGCGCGCAAATTGTAGTGCTACCTGTACTTCATTCGCAATCTTGCTCAAAGCGAAAGCCCAGCTCTGGCAGCTACCAAAATCGATCTATGTACGTTTGGTCTAGCCGAAAAGCTAGTAGCTAACCAACTGTTTTTTTGATGGAAATTGGCAAAGTTGTCTGTCTGTCTGATTGTTGCGACGTTTGTCGTTTGCCGTTCGCTGTTGCGGCCTTAATGAAGCGGACGACATTCACTGGACAAGCTATGCTCTCGGCCACATCGCAGCCACTCGCCAAATATGCGGCGACAAGTCCTCGCTAAATGCTATCCAGATTAATAAGTCCCAGCCGTGTGGGTGATGTGAGCCACATGTGGAGCGAGATACGATAGTAAAAGTCAAAAGTCGCCCCAGGCCAGACGTTCTTAGAACACTGAAACAAAATAAGTATCATGTTTAGAAGTGTTTAATGGAAATCATTGAAAAATATATATAACTTTATCTTTTAAAAAACCTGAAAACTTCGTTTAGGTACCCGGATTCAAAAAATTTCTTCAAGTGCTTTAACTTCACCAGCCAAACCGCCGTGCCACCTCGATTTAGGGGCTTCCAAATTTGGCCAAGGCAATATTTTGTTCGTTTGGCAGGCCGTTAGAGATTTGCAAAAGGTAAAACTGTAAAATGCATTTCGGTTTTCCTTAAATGGAGCGGGGAAAAGCCAGCAGAACGCACGATAACGAAAGAAAAGTGCAAACATTGTTGCAGAACCACATCGAGTGTGCAAATTTGCCTTTCGATGGCCATACTGGCCAGAAAATCCGAAGACTGGAAAAAGGTAAAATGCATTCGAAAACTCGGCTCAACAACAATGGGGCAACAACAACAACTATTGGCACTGTGTGGCAACGAGGAGTTGGAAATCTCCTCGTCTCGATAATCGCCTGGCACTCGAAGACTGCTCCTATGATTTTAAGTGGACGTTATTCTGCTGTATTCACCAATAATTGCAGTTGCAAATATGAGTTTTCCATTTCGCATTTACCATTTCCCAGGCTCTGGCAGCTGCACAGTTCTCGGACGGCAATTGACGTAATGAGCAGTAAGTTCCTTCGTTATTTATTCAGTAATTCCACACCTCGTATGCGTATAAAACAGTTCACATTTCCAGGTCACTCGGCACACCTAGTATTTGCATTGGATCGAATTGAAAGATGGCCAAGCAGCAGCGAATAACAGGAAATTGGGATCGATTCTGGATTCCGTTTCAGGATGGTTGGGCTGTTTTCAAGGATCCCCAGAGGCAGCCTCGTCATATTAATGCCTACTGGAATCGAGACCAACTTAAGTTAGGATCTGAATAAGATTGTTAAGATTATTTTAAATGAATACTCCTCTTATAGAGCCATGGGTCTGTACATAAACTCGGAGAGACTTCAAATGACTGCCCTCATCTGGAAATATTTCGTTTTGACCGCATTGATAATTTGTTTGGCATCACTGTTGTATGGAATTCCTGAATCCTTCGGTGATATTGTGAATCTGGGAAGGGACTTGGTCTTCACAGTAACGGTTGGAAATTAAGGATATATCGTTTGTTAGTCAGTTATTACATATATATATATTTCTCTTCTTAGGGCGCATATATTTGCTCAAGATTGGTGTTCTTCGCTCAGTACTCTGATGACGTGGATATGATAATCGATGCTCTAGAGGATTTACATCACAGGATGATTAAAGGCCCTGCTAACAGGGAAGTGCAAGCCATTAAGCGTTTCCATATCCTGTTGATAACGGCTTTACAAGTGATTTGGTTTGCGGTTATTTTAATCTTTATTCTGATAAAAATATCAACACCATTTTATATTAAATCGCAAAGTTTGCCCTTTCACGTCGCCTGGCCCTTTGAACTGCACAATCCGTCGAAACATCCGATATCCCATGCCATTATATTTTTAACTCAAAGCTTTACATTGCTTTATTTTCTGCTTTGGCTTGGTTTTGCGGAGGTCATGGGTGTTTCCATTTTCTTCGAGATGACTTCTTTGTTAAGGGTCCTTAGCATTGAGCTACGAAACGTCCAGGAACTTTGCCAAGGCGACGAGAACTTGCTAAATAGTGAGCTATGTCGACTGATCAAGTTCCATCAGCAAATTATATTGTAAGCTTCTAGAATATTACTACTACTACTAACAAACGTAATATTTTTTTTTTTTCTTTAAACAGACTAAGTGATCGCTGTAATGAGATATACAATAGAGCATTTATCATCCAAATGTTGGTTAACTTCATTCTAGTCTCATTGTCACTTTTAGAAGTAGTGGAGGCCAGGAAGGATCCTCAAGTGGCGACTGAATATCTGCTTGTTATGACGATGACTCTGGGACATCTCTCATTCTGGTCAAAATTCGGTGATATGTTCTCGGAAGAATCGGAGCAGGTGGCCCTGGCTGTCTATGAAGCTTATGATCCAACTATTGGATCCAAGACCATCAATCGTCAATATTGTTTTTTTATTCAGAGAGCTCAGAGACCGCTTCAGATGAGTGCAAGTCCTTTCCCCCCTTTTAATTTGATGAATTATATGTTTGTAAGTAAGCTCATGAGCTACTCTTTGATATTTAATTGAAGATTTCTTTTTGCAGATACTAAAGCAGTGCTATTCAATTTTGACCTTATTAACAAACACATTGGACTAGATTTATAGTGTATCAAAGCTATAAACGTAAAAGCCAGCTTGAGCTCTAAACATTACATACAGGAACACATTAAAATGAGAACATTTTTCTTCTAAAATAACACCATTAATTCACTTAAAATTTTATTAAAACCTTTCCAGCTTCGTAAATGATATCGTCCATTTTGGGCCACTCAAAAGAAAGTTCTGCAAGGAGCCTGCATTTTATGCATGCGACCCCAAAAGGTCGCCACTGCACTCTTTGCAACTTCGAAGAGTGGTTCGAACTGGCGGAAGATTGGGCTCATAAATTGCAATTGTGTGTGGAGCTCGAACTGGAAGCTGGTTTTCCTTCAGACCGATGACTTTTCGATGTTGCCTGTTGGCTGCTGGTTGTTGGTTGCTGGCGTTTGACTGCTCCGTCATTAGCTTGATTGAATCTTATTGTTGGCAATTAACCTTCGCAGCGATGGGGCCAATCGTCTGAGGGTCTTCTGGGGCTACGATCCTGACATTCTGCAGCTCTTGGTCGAAGCGAATAACTTTATTTGCCACGAAAACATGGCATAACATGTCATCTTCCTGGGCCACACTAATTGCCAACGACAAGCAGTCTCAATTAATTAGCAAGCGCCAATGTATTAGGCCAATATCCAATATCCGATTTACTTCTATTTGAATATGAAGGAGTGGTAAACCTGTGTTGTAGTAAAGAAAGGGGAAACTCTTGATTTTTTCTTAGAAATATCATCACATTAGGGCTCAAAAATTGTCGTATTTTTAACATATCTTAAACATCTGCTGATTTGTTAAAATACAAATAAAGAACTTAAAACATATAACCTAAAAACACATTTTAATAACCAAGAAAGTGTGCTCCACGGTGCGACGGCAAAGTTGAACAGCAAACCGATTTGTCAGGCTGCAGTTTCTTTTTCTCGTTGTGGCTCATTTAAGACCCACTTCCTACTTACATTTGAATATTCGCTATTGCAATTGCAATTGCATTTCGCTTGTGTTTATTTACTTAGACGACTCCGTTGTACACTCCTCAATCCCCGAATGAGCCAACTTCTTGGCCGTTTTCCATCTAAATTGCATGCAGCGCCTTTGTCATGACATGACAGCAGCCTAATTCATCATTATGGCTACACAGGACCGACTGGATCGATGGAGGGGATCAGTTTCGGGGATTGGGGATAGAGGATTGAGAGAGTTTTGTCGCGACTTTCGCTAGACGGTTGCCATGAGATGCAGTTGCCAAGTTGCAAGTTTTGCATCTGAACACCGATCTCGGGTGGAACTTGGACTACGACGACGTGATTCATTCATGCGCAGTAGTTGGATTTTTCGCTTGCATGCAGCTGGCAACGATGATGATAATGATGATGCATGCGCCCGGGCTTAGGAGCTGGTTAGATTTACACAAACCTGGCTAGTGGTAAGGGGATAGGTGGTGCAGCCATAAGATGCACTTTAGAAGGCAAAAGTACACTGTCGATAGGCTGATGATTCGCCTGTCGACATTCAACGAGCCAACGGGCCAAGACGACGACATTATCGTCGGCAGAAGTCAGGGATGTCAGTGGGAGCTTCGGGACCACAGCTCAGTTATTTGTATGGTTTGTTATCTCCGCACAATATCGCTCATTGTGGAGGCTTGTCAAGGGGCCGCGGAAAAGTTAGTTATTGAGACCCCAAGCCTAAGCCCAAGCCCCTCAAAGTGAAACTTCTGAGACGCACACTCAAGTATGAATCTGACTTACAACGCACGGGATTTAAATGGGTTCAAACGGAGTCAAGTACACTTGGGAAAAGTGTTGCCAAAGGTTCTGAAAACTTACAAAAAATGCGAGAAAAGTTGGCCTAGATTAGAAGTTCATTTACCATAATTATTTTAACATAAAATAATAAAGGTAAATTTTCCTAAGTTTTGAGTTATGTTATGTGGAGGTAAAAATCAATCCTATGTGCCTCATTTCCGCTTCTCTGAACCAAATCACTACCAGCCGCAGATCCTTATCAAATGGCCAAAATCGTGTGACATTGTAAATCAGCAAGAATAACCGACCCAGTTAACAAGACCGATTCTCTGGCCGCTGCTGCTGTTGGTACTGCCAATTTGCTGACATGCGCCGATTCCCGCGACCAAAAGAAAAAAACAGCGAAAAGGTGTCAGACATTTGGTCCGGATTCGGTGGCTGGGCCTCTTAATCATCGAACTCAAACCGAACAGGACAAATGCCATGCACGACTTCATTATTAGGCAGCCCCATATGCACATCATCATCGCCGTTGAGTCGTTGAGACTTAGCCATGGACTCGTGACATGGCCTCCAGATTGGGGCTAGTTTGCCAAAAGCAACAGCAGTAGCAGCAGCTCCCTGATTAGTTTTCCACAGCTCCTCGGCAGCTCATTTCCCTCTCATCAAGACACGAAAATGTCCCTCAAATTTGTTTGTCAACTTGGGAGAGGGAGCGGGTGGAGGATTGGGTCCATTAAATTCCTTTTTTCTTGGCTTCTGGGGGCCTGTCGCTAATGAAGTCATAAAACCGCATGACATTTTCGATGCCTCCGAGGAAAGCCCCCATGGATCTCACTTTTTGTCAGACGATCTTGTTGTGTTGGTCTCCTCTGTACAACACACACACACAATGCTGTCCGGGGCAGTTCAATCGTTCCAATATGCAAATGCTCCATTCACCCGCTGCCACCCACGGCTTGAGGACCTGGAACTGAATGCTCCGATCCATATGACCATATGTTCATATCGGACCCCAAATCTTTCGCTTTCGATTGTGCCAAGCTGCTGCGCCCTCTGTCCACTCCACTCCACTCAAGTCACCTCGACTACTAAGCCCGGCTTTATCTCTGCTCCCAAGACGATTTTCTGCATTTCATTTCGTTTCGCCGGTTTTCGCTTCGTGCCGCAAATATGCAAAAATGCTGCAATCTGCGGACAGCACGTTCGGAGGGCCTTTCGTGTCATAAATGGCATAAATATTCCTTCTTGACCGGGCAACCTAAATATTTCCAGCTCTGCAGATGCTGCTTTCCTCGCTGGGGTGAAGGGAAGCCAAAAATAAGAAAAAAAAAAATCATTTTATAACAATGCAAACTTTCACTTTTTTCGGTTTTTGGTTTTGCGGAGATCTCCACCGAAATCGAAATTAAATCGTTTTTCATTTTATGAGCTGGCGGATTATTGATGTTCGATTGTGGATTTTCGTTTCAAGGAAATAAATAATAAGAAAAAATATATATAAGTACTAATTCCAAATGTAAATTTATGACAGCGATTTAAGTTTCTCAAAGCAGATGTTAAGTTCTCGCCTGGTAATTGTCTTAAATGGTCATAGTTTTTTGCTTATTAGCGCGCACAGGGAAAAAGAAGTTCTATGATGATTAGTTTTATATTATTTTCATTGAATTATTTTATATTATTTAAATCTTTATAAATAAACAAGAATTTATAAAACAAGACGACCATTTTAATATTTATAGAGCTTATTAAAGGAGGATTTACTTAAAAAAGCTAAATATGAAAGTATTTTTTTCTGTGATCTTCGAGGATAATATTTAAAAGGAACCTCCCATCACATTGTAAGAACACTCCAGAAAGAAAAGCCATTTAAAATGGAATTTCATGGAAATTTGCGTCTTTTTCTGTTATTTTTCATAGAAGGATGGAAGATTTATCGAAATCCTCAACTGGAGTCTGGCCACACTCCAGTTTACTATTGGAGGGGAAAGATGAAGTCTGAGTAAAGTATAAAGTTCTAGCGGATAAAAACTACTGGAGATCTCTTTGCAGAGCCATGTTTTTTTACACAACCACCAATGAACGTCAACTGCCCTATCGATCCATTTGGCATACTTCGGCTATCATTCAAATGACCGTGTTATTTGTTTCAATGTTATATGCCCTAACGGAATCGGTAGGTGACAATGTTCAAATTGGGCGTGATCTTGCCTTTATCATTGGTGTAAGAAAAATATTAAAAATTTTGAAATATATATTAAATTAAATAGTATTCTCAGGTATTTTATATTATCTTCAAGATGTACTATTTCCTGTGGTATGGCGATGCCCTTGACGAAGTTATTAATGACTTGGAAACATACCATCCGTGGACACTCAAAGGTCCCAGTAAAGTTAATTTCCGACCTAGAAAACGTTGGTACTTTATGATGGGCTTAATTGTAGCATCGATTTGGTCAATCTTCTTGTGTATTTTCGTCGTCCTACTTATAACATCACCAATTTGGGTTCAGCAGCAAAACCTTCCCTTTCACGCGGCTTTTCCATTTCAATGGCACAATCGATCCATTCATCCCATCAGCCATGCCGTTATATATCTATCACAGAGTTTTCTTGTGGCATATGGTATTACTTGGCTTTTATGCATGGAAGGATTATCCGTGAGCATTTATGCGGAGATAACTTTTGCTATTGAAGTTCTGTGTCTAGAACTACGTAATCTTCATCAAGGATGCGACGGTAATGAACAGCTGAGAATGAAAACGAATCAAATCGTGATGATCCATCAGAAAATTATTGAGTAAGTCTCCATATAAGTCTAAAGGAAGTAATTTATTTCTATTATAATTTTAGAATTTTAAATCGTATAAACAACGTTTTTCATGGAACTCTCATCATGCAGATGTCGGTTAACTTCTCCCTAGTCTCTCTATCGGTTTTGGAAGCCATGGAGGCCCGAAGGGATCCCAAGGTGGTAGCCCAGTTTGCAGTTCTCATGATTCTGGCCTTGGGACATCTCTCCATGTGGTCTTTTTTCGGAGATATGATATCCCGGGAGTCATTGAAAATAGCAGGTGCTGCCTACGAGGCATATGATCCTAATAAGGGATCTAAGGAGGTCTATAGAGATCTTTGCTTGATAGTACGACGAGCCCAGAAACCTCTAATAATGAGAGCCAGTCCTTTTCCTTCATTTAACTTAATCAACTACACAGCTGTAAGGGTTTTAAATTGCAATGTATAACATATTTTTGAATTTGTAATATATTTTACAGATACTTAATCAATGCTATGGAATCCTTACATTTCTACTAAAAACTTTGGATTAAATTTTATAAAATAAATATAAATATTAACTTACCATTAGAAGTTTCCACAGAATAAATCAAAACCAATCAATTTTCAATATGATTTTGTTGAATTGTTTTTTGTTTTTATTTTCTTTTCGTATTTTGTGTGCCTAAATTATTTCTGCACAATTTAATGAATTTGTTATGAAAACTATGAAGTATTTGCTTTTGTTTACATTTCCACATAATTAGTTGGCTAATCTAAACATTGGAACATTTTGAGTTGCTCGTAGTAATTTTTTTGCGCATTTTCCGCTCGTCTTTCATTTTCATTTTCATTTCCATATTCATTATTTATTATTAACTTGATGTTTGAGTTTTTAATTATAAATGCTAATTACGATTATTGTTATTGTGAGGGATAGAAAGAAGGGGCAGAGGGGTAGTTGGGCAAAAGTGCGTTTAATGAATAAATATTTAAAATACAATATTGCAGTTGTTCTTTCATCTCGTAAAACTAATAAATGCGAAGCGAATGCATTCGTAAATCGAATTAATTAACTTGGCTTAAACATAGTTTATCTCTCTCTCGTTTAACTTGTTTGTACATAGCGACGTTGTGACTTAAATGACTAGTCTTTGGTTGTTGTTGTCGTTAAATTGTTAATAAATGAAAACTTGAACTTTGCAGAGGAATGTAATGTTTTCTTTATCGAATTAAAAAAATGCAATATTTAGTTTGTAGAAGAAACTTTCCGTTGCACGCTCCTGCTGGCAATTGCTAATTGGAGCGAATTGCAAAAAAATATTTACAATTAATATACAATGGCGCGAGTTTTTTGTTTACGTTTTTCATTTTTTTTTGTTTTGCATTTACATTTAAGTTGCTGCAATGTTTGATTGTTTTAAGTACTTTTGTTGGCTGTTGGCTTGTTGAGCTTATGTTTGATATGCTTGTCATGGGTTTGTTATTACGAGTGCCTATTTAAAAATGCAAATGCTATTAGTTGCTTGAGCTCATAATTTGATTAATGATTTAGCGGATGATATTGCAAGTTTATTTTGTATATTGGCCAGACTTTCTCTTCAATTTTTGCTTTAACGTTTGCTATTTTTTTTTTCTTTTCTCTGCTTGTTTTAGCCAGGGCCATCCAGAACCCATTTGCCCTTGTCATGGCAAAAAGAAAACAATGAAGTGAAAAGCCACAAAGTTCTGGCTCAATGTCTGCCCGGGACAGGTCCCTAGGAATTTGGCTCGGATACATTTAGCCACAAGGCTTAAGCCGAAAATGTCTATTTAAACAAAAAACAAGTGGTAAATGTAAAGTTTCTCTTCAATATCGACTTCAATATACCGTTTTGTAATGGCTTATATCTCCTACAAGGACTCAGTTTGGTTTACCCGAAACATTGATGGGTATTCTCCGATTTAAACTTGTGGCATCATCATCATCGGCAGTTGCCAGTTGGGTGCAAACAGAAAGCACGCCCTTTATTTGCTTTAATCCGACAAAATCCCTGTTCTAATGCCGAGCGGCAATAAAGGATGAAACGTGCATGGCATGTAAAGAGCATGTCCTGTGGCCATACATACCGCATACCGCAGCCCTCTCGCCTGTCTGACTCGATAGTTTGCGAAACGGAAACGGAAGTGACACTAAATTCGTTTCGGTTTTCCCAATTGGTGACACAGACACAGGCATACAGACACACACACACACACATATACATATATAGGGAGAGTCTCTGGATGAACTTGCAAAAATAAACTTCACAAAATTGTTACGTGTAATCCCCTTTATGATCTGCACCATGTCCATGTGCGCTGCATCTTAAGTGGGCCCGAGAACCCTACCTTTCTTACTGCTGCCAAATCCAGGCGCAGTTCTGACCCGTTTCTCAGCTGGCTATGACCATCGTAGCTGATGTGGCTCCTGGTGGCCAGTTGGTGGCTCCGGAATTGCTCGCTTCCTGTGGCAGCGACGATGACCCCATCGAGGACAGGGAGCTACTGCTATTGACCGAATGTAGCTGCTGAGGTTGATGGTATTCCGGCTCCTCGTAGGCGGCATCCTCATCGCAATCGTGTGGATACAGCGGTACATGGTGGTGCGTGTGGTGGTGGTGCGTATGCGAGTGGTGAAGATGCTGTTGCTGGTATGGATGGAAGTAGTGGTTCGACTGCTGCTGCTGGTGATGTTGCAACTGTTGCTGCTGTTGTGGAGCAGACGGTGAGGCCGATGACGAAGGCGATGCGCCACCAGATGGTGGGTGGGGCAATGGCAGCGACAACGGCAGCACCACTGGCAATGGTTGTAGACCTCTTATACTGTCCGCCGGGTGGGCCGTATAGATGTTGCTACGCCTCAGGTGGTTGTTGTTTATGTTGCTGCTGCTGCCGTTGTGGTGGTTCCCATTGCCCGCGGCACCGCCCGCTGCCCCACTTGCGCCGCCCGCACCACTCAAGCCATTGCCGTGGGCGCGCTTGTTGCGAGACCACCATTGCACGTGCGTGTCTGCGTGTTGGAGAAACCGATGCAGATGCCACACCATAACACACAGACGAGATGGGTACCGGAAAATAGTAAGAGGAGGGGAGAGGGGTATGTGGTTAGTTGGTGGGTCACAGTTGCGAAAACAGTTGCCAAATGTTGTGAGAGTCAACACCGGTAGAGCCCTGGTAATGGCCAGCAGAGAGCACAGTGGATGTAGGTTCATCAAGAAAAAGATAAATAAATCAAGTTCTTAATTAAAAAAAATTGGAAATTATAAATGGAATTTTGAAAGGCAGAATATTTTTTAGAAGAAATTCTTTCTTTGAAGGTTTAAACATTTTAACAATTTCGAACTTCTTTCCACTGTGTGCCCACTGTAGTTGGCCCACGCCCACTGTTTTTTGGCCAAGTTGGCCATGTGGCCATGTGGTGGCATGTGAGTACTCACCGTTGCGATTGTTGGAGGACTTTTTGCGCCGGCAGCGCACCACGGCAATCATGATGATGGCGCCTAGCAGCGCCGACAACACGGACACGATGATCAACGTCAGTGGCCAGCCCAGTTCTGTGGCCTTTTCTGTAAAAAAAAAAATAAGATGGGCGAAAAGGGTAACGGTTAGTAACGGGAGTTACGCAGCCCTCAGCTATCATTTCTACACTGAGAAAAAATGCATTTAGAAGACATATTTCGTTAGAAAATATACTCTCAATATATTTAAGCTTGATAAAGAATTTTCCCCCTGTGGATCCCGTTTTGCATTCGCACTCACCTATCGTGCCCTCGAACATGAATGTGCTCTTGGTGGGCATCGCCCAGGAGCATAAATCACACGTGGTCAGTCCGTCGCTCAGCACAGGTTCGTCGACGAAGAATGGCGGCCGGGGCGGGGGCGGTACGAAGCGTCCGTTCCACAGGCCCTGTTCGCTAGCATCGAAGGCCATTGGCGAGCCAAACAAGTCGTCATCGTCATCGAAGATGTCGAATGTCACGTCACCAAAGCTGCTTAAGTCCTCCGCTGAGCTGCTGGCCACCAGACTTGCAATCCGCGGCGGACTAAAGGTTGGAAATGCGGATGCGGAGGGCAGGGCGGGTACGGATGCTGATGCGGATACCGATACAGATACGGATGCAACTTGATTTACAACGTAACTGAGACGCGCATCGTTGCTATAGTTGTTGTTCGCTACGGATGGCATTTTCCTTGAGTTTTCCGGATAGGGATTGGGGAGTTTTCCGGGTGGAAAATGGTTGCAATCTTTTGACTCTCCTCGCTTATTGCCAGTTATCGCCGTTGTCTGTTAGTCCTCCGTTTGGCGCATGGTGAAGGGTTCGGGATTTTCGCCGGGTTCCGCCTGTTTTCTTGTTGGTTATTTTTCGCCTTCTTTTTGGCTGTAAAAAAAAAAAAGGAAAATGCAAACGGAAGGAGCAAGTTAGTTTTGCCAATTAAAGCCTTAATTGTGCTGTCAGTATTTGCGCATTTCTCCTTTTAAGAGAGAGAAAAGCTTTCACATTTTTCTTTCAGGCGTATCTGTGTATCTCTAAGTCCTGGCCAAGTTAACATTCCCTCGCATGCCAGAGACTCATGTCAGCAATCGTTTCTCAATGACTTTTTTCTACCTATTTCCAATTTGTAACTACCCCAAACCCTGCCCTCGCCGGCATTTGTATCTTTTCAGCTGGAAATTGAATTTTTGAACAGCTCTGCCAACGCTATCTGCCAGATACTTCGAGTAGCAGCATCCCAGAGTAACACACCGACATCTATCGACTGCTATAGATGCGGATACACATAGGACATGAACATCCACATCCACATCCACATCACACATGGCAGGCACTGCTAACGAGAATTGACAGCTTGACAGTTCGATATCAGGCTAGAAGTCAGCATTAGTTACAGTTCTGAGTTCTCAGTGCCTCGAATTTGCTTTATTAAAAAACATCCTCCATTGTGTTAGGCTTCCCTCTTTGCCCCTGCTCTCTCTTCTTGATTTTTTCCTTGGCACTTGTCTGAACAAACTTGATTTGCGAGGCAATAATCCTGATAAATTAACACTAATTTGCAAGCGCCAAGAGCTGAGGGAAGTTGGAAAAAAGAACTCTGCACTAATCCGCAGGTGAAAATAAAGCCGAGTGCTTCGTTAGTTGGCAATTCAGCTCTTGAAGCTTTCTGTCTATCCAAAACCAAATAAATCTGTTTCACTCCAGTTGGCAACCCTTTCACAAAGTTCTCGACTCCATTTCCCCACCCCAATTTTTGTGGGTAAACTACTCTTTTTTCGTTCCGTTACCAAGCCATCAGAGGCCGACACGTTTCAGGCATTAGCCGCTCAAGCTGCCGAAATTTTCAACGCTTTTCGCTACAAACAAATGGAAATGCATACCGGATTGGGGTACTAAGAATGTTAGCCTTTTACACAAGTCGAAATATTAGGGAGATATAGGATTAAAATTAAAAAATTAACATATAATTATTTGAGTTTTAGAAAAGTCCTATAAATTTATCTGGCAACTCTGGAAAAGATTCGTCACACTAACTTGCATATCTATTCACAGTTACATAGTTGTAAGCACGCAATGTTTCCCTCTCTCTTAAACTTGCATAAAGCTTTTGCTAGCGAACACAATATGTGTCCCGTTCGCACGATCAGAAAATGTCACCAACACATTTAAATATTTAAAATTAATTAAGAACAGTTTGTTTTGAACCACGGAAGGGAACTTCTGTAGACGCGAACTTTTTTTTTCGTGTACCATTTCCACTTGCCACGTGCTTAATTACAGAAATATATGCAAGTACTGCTATAGAAATAAAAAGCATAAAAAATGGCTAGTTTTGCGAGGAAAGTTTAATTCCACTTGCGCAAATAATACTTCATATGTATGCAGAAATGCTGCCCAGTAAGTGAGTGCAACGGGGTGGCATGAGGCAAGGGGCGAGTTCGGTGTAAACGATATTTAGTCATTCTTGAAAATGAGAAAACGTGAGGCGCATAAATTGACGCGGACTCCGAGAACGGGCAGCAAAACTGAACTTCCTTCACGCAAGCGAAATTGCGAATCCAACTGCGAATCTCTTTTAGGTTTTTTTTTTTTGAATGAATGAATGAACATGGAAAGGAGGAGGAGGGTGATGGTGATGGAGAGATACTGTAAAAAGCTGTGTGGGTGGCAGTAATACTTCTTCTTCTCCAGTGACTGGGGCTATTAATAAATTTATTTTCGCTGCATGCTTGAAATAAATTGTAGAGTCACGTGAGCTGGTCTCAGCGCACTTTGATTTGCCTTTGATGGTACTGAGTTTGTCCCAAGTCGAAGTTGAAGTTGAAGTCACCGGTTATACTATATATAAGTCTGCGGCGACAGCTGTCATCTGGCAGTGCGTGGGTTCCATTCGTAACCCTCCAATCTCCCTTCTCCAAACAGCCAACCAATTCCCAATTGAATGTCCAAAAACGCGTCTTCAGTTTCAATCGGGTTTTGCGTGGAAACGTGCCTGCCGGCGGCTTCCTCTGTTTGCCAATTGAATGGAGGTGGTGGTGGCACCGCCCACTATCCGGCAAATAAACAAAACGAGAAACGCCCAACAACAAAAATCGGGAAATGAAATGAAAATGAAAATGTGAATGTGAATGTGAAAAGCAACAAAAGGGGCTCTGTGCCCCATCAATAACTGCTGCAGAATGCATACAACAATCGATATTCACACATCGCCGAGATGGGAAAAGCAATTACACATGTCCTATTCAATTCCAGGCAGCATCGATTCAATATTTATATTTTCATCCCGTTCCGCTCAGACCCTCGGAAAACTCTCGCCCTGCTTTTTAATTAGTGCGAAATGTTTGTACATTATTTTCATTTATATTTCTCCAGCACCATTATTTGCCGTCAAATATATGTAGAAGTTAATATTGTAAGAGGGGGTTGGGCCGAAACTCTACAAAATAGTTGCGAAATGCCGAATTTTGGCTCTCAAAATTAACACAGAAATTTTCAGCATTCCGCACCCCCGCCGTGGCAACATAATTACCTAAATATGTGAGCGAAATAATTCCATGCACGCTTTTGGGGCAAGAACTTAAAATGGGGGAAAGAATATATATGGAAAATAATTCCGAGCATTTAATTAAAGTTTATAATCTGGGGAATTATTTATTGAATACAAACGAAAGCCTCCGATAAGAGCCCCCCTGAAGCAGGGAAATAAATTAAATCCCGTTTAAAGGCACATTTTTAAGCCACAAAAGGTCAGAGTAAATGAATTTGTTTTAAAGCGTGGTGGACGTTTTAAGCCCGAAATGTCAGAGTCTGTCAGAAAACCTGCCACAATCAAAAGTTGCTTCTATTTTATCCTTAAAGTCGACGAGTCAGACATGGATATTGGGACGTGTCTGGCATTTCTTTCCTTTCGTTTTTGGGGGAAAATAAATGTTTTCAAGGCGAGGAGATAATATTGCACTAATAACGAAGAGGAAACTCTTGACCAGGTCCGGAACTCGGCCAGAATAATTGACTTAGCTCTCTGGCATATAATATAAATTGGATTCGGACAAAACGAACTCTGATATTGCCATGCATGAAAATTGAATTTTTATTCAAATGCCCGGCCAAGTACTCAGCGAGGGAGATAAAAGTGACAGCCTGCCTTGGATTTACATAAATTATGAGGACGAGATCTACGGTTCGGTCCCCCCAAAAAAAACGAGAGACAAACTCACTTCAGAGTGCACTCCAATAGAAAGCGATATTTTTTGTTTTGGGATGAGAGGGAAAATTAGTTGATTTGTATGCGCGACCGAACGAAATGAAAACTAATAGAGTTGTATAACGAGACGAGGGCCTGGGGCAAGAAAAACTGAGGAATGAAAACTGGAAACTGGAAAACCGCAGACTGTTTATGCGACCCTTCGGCAGCTGATAAACTTGGCGTTTTATTGCCAATTCAAATTCAAATTGAAATCATCGAATGTGAAACTTCGTGCTGGAATTTCTTTGTGGGATCTTCGATCGATCGATTTGGAAATCACCAAAAACACACACACATGCATAGCACTAATGAATCCGAGATTAGATTTGAGATTTCGTTTAGCAGTGGTTTTGGGATAACAAAACTAACCATTGTTGAGCACCTGACATGTTGGCCAGATAAACTCGAATTGGAAATAAACATTTCTATTTTTTTGGGAAGGTAGTTAAGATTAGGGAACATCCAGAGTTGATAGCTAACAATGGGGGTTAAGTTTTGATGACAAGTCTTAGTCTAATTTTATGGCCCTGTTAAGGATTTAAGCTGAAGATAAGTAAATTTAGAAATTATTGTAGTTTTTGGGTTTTGAGATAAAGTTCCCCTTTACAGCAGAAAGGCAAAGCATTGACTTGAGCCCCGAAAACCAACTAGTTAATGCTGTCTGCTGGCTTACGTCAAAATTGATGAAATTTTCTCCCCTTCCTGAAAATACCGTAAACCGTAAAGCATACTGCCAAACAAAAGCCAAGAGATTTGAGATGCCATCGCTGCCTGATTTTCCCTTCTTGGCATATCAAGACTGACTCTGAGCCACACACAGCGTGTGGGAGCTGCTGCTGATGCTGCTGCTGCTCCCTGGCTCTACCATGCATGGCCATGTTCCCAGACTCAGATTCATAATTTTCGACAAACAAATCGCTTTATAATCCCTTTTCAAACACACTCACCAGGGCCAGCCGGCAGACACTTGGCTTCGTTCTAATCCTGAGCTGTCAATAAGACATTAATGCCTCGAGTAGTCTGCTCTTTTTCGGGGGAGTCGGTTTTAGGAGTAGGAGTTAGGGGTTAGGGTCTAAGATCGAGTTACACAAAACGCATTCTGTTGAAAGAAAAAGGACGCCCGGGCCGTAAAACCTCATCTTTGAGATAGGGCTCAACACATTTTCCCCGCACTTGTTGAGGAAACATAAAAAATGCACAGGAGTTGGGGGTGGGCGACGGGGCACTTGAAATATTTAGGGTTGAGTTCTTTGCATGTTTATGATACATATTTTGTTTAAAATTTAATTTTCAGTACAAGACAAGTTAAGGGGCTGAGGAGGAGAAGTAGAAGGAGCAGTCCGTTTTCTTTCATTTCTGCTGGCAAGTGTCTAATGCAATTTGCCTGCGAACAAACTCAATAAAGGCTGCCCTGTGATGGTTGGTTGTTTGGCTGGATGGTTAGGGAAGGGGAGTAGCAAGAGACGGAGTCAGAGTCGGAGCCTGAGCAGGTTCAGTTGATAGATTCCCCAGGACAGCCGCGGGCCACACACGCGCAAAATGGAATAGGGAAGGCAGCTCAGAACCTCACCTTTTGGCTGGGGCCACTTCTGCTCTTTGCAATCATTTTTCTTGCCAACAGCATTTGGTACAGTAAAAC